GTCAAATTTGCTTTAATGGCATACCAGGAAGAGACTAGTGTTGCCAGAGCAGTACAATATATTTGCCACAGACCAATATGTTCACATTAAAATCCCTTCCACCTTGTGTGTCATTGTGTGTGTGCTCAGTCCCTGGAGCGTGTATGCTGTGGATTACTATTGACTCTGCTCCTGAATCCAAACCCGTCACCCGACTGCGAGTGTTACAGAGCTACATTCGTGAGTAATTAATCGCAGCCTAATTTATACAGCAATATTTAATGTATGTACACCTTCTGTACGTCTGACATGGGTGAATTTAAATATTTTTTTTAAGTGACTGCTAGCAGATATACTGGATATTATGCTTAAAATGTGCTGTTTTTATTATGTTATACAGTCCATTGCCCTTTTTTTTTTTTTTTTTAAAAAAGCCTTCTGTTATTGCCATTGTTGCTTGTTACATCAATCCGTGTGTCCCGGCACTTTTCGGGAGCAGTTACGAGTTTAATTCCTGATTTGGTGCGATTTGAAGCAGTTTATCATCGCTTTTAGCTTCTGCTGTTGCAAATGGGACTGTTAAACCCAGATACACTGAACGGCACAATACTTTTTTAAACAGTCATATCAGAAAAATGAGCTACAAGAGGTCAAAAAGCTGCGTGGCCAGCTGATAATTCTCTGCGAGTTAATGCGAGCTGCGAGCGACCCCTCTCACATTACACACAGACATTTGATCCATTGTTAATGTAAAACATGTTTATTGGTGGGGCTTTGAAGAGCCTCCACAACTGCAGTCTTCCTCTCAGGCTGGAGAAAATTGCAGTCTCTGTCACCTAACAAAACCTCCAAGTGCAACCGCAACGCATGAGCTACTTTTGTTAGTTGTTTTGTGCTTGTGTACACCCAAGAGGACGCTCTTTTTGTAGAGTGGCCTTCAAAATCATTACTGTTGATTTCACATTAAAAAACTCACACAACTGTTTATGTAGAAAATGAAAAACAGTGCATTAGGGTAACTTATTAATAACTGAAATAGTGCATTTATTCACCATCACTGTCGAGCTTACATACTCTAAATTTGCACCGAGTTTAGTTTTAGTTAATATCATATGATTGAAGTACACTGGCATGCGGTTGGGGCTGTCTGCTGGAGTGGTGCGACTTCAGTCTTAAAGCTTAATTCTCAAACTAATTTGGATTGTCAATATCTAACCCGTCTCTAAGTGTGGCCCTGCGTTAGACTGGCGACCTGTCCAGGGTGTCCCCTGCCTTCGCCCTAAGTCAGCTGGGATAGGCTCCAGCCCCCCCGCAACCCTCGTGAGGATTAAGTGGTGTATAGATAATGGATGGATGGATGGATGGATGGATGGATGGAATATCTAACCCAAGTTTTACCCTTATTTCAGTTAGCTGTGTGGAGAGTTCCACCTCAGATAAGAGTGTCTTAGTGACACACAGCAAATAAGTATTCACCAGACGAAGTGGGAAGAAACACAACATAAGCACTGCACTTATATTTCTCACTTTGTTTTGCTGCACCATTAAATCAAAAGACATTGGCTGGTGTGTCAAAATGTGTACGATTACTTCATGTACACTTTGTTTGTTTTTTCCCCCATATTATAGCATTTATACTTGCATTTTCATTTAGTGAGACACGACAGCATCAGTGTCACTGCACTGCACACAGGACTGCACCTTTACTGATTATAACACAACAACATCTTCAGCCAGTTGATCTGACAGATCTGCAACACTATTAAAAAGGTTTTCTGGCTTCAGCCTCCAAATATACATACAAACTGAGTATCTTTGCGCCTTTGACTGATGGTCAAATGTAACGCTTAAACACAGCACCATGCAAGTGAGAAACTCTGACAGCAAACTTTACTTCCTCATCAGTAAAAATAATCATCAGCTGCAGTTGTAAAGACTGTGCATTTTGTTTGGTACAGTTTTGTGATACGGGATCCTGGTGCATGATTGGCCCAATGCTCACACCGTTTCTACAGAGGAGGTGCAGCACGTTATCAGAGCAGCAGCAGCAGTTTCAGGCTTCTGTCTGTGTTCAGAAACAGAACGGAGTCGTAGCTCATGTTTTAGCAGCGCTCAACCCAACATAGAATCACCGCAGTTATGGTCGTAACAATGTGACTTACAACAACATTTATGTCATTCAGGCCAGAGATAGTGAAAAGACAGAATACAGTGCAAGAAATATTAGAAAACAAATAATCAAACAAGCTGAAAGTATAGTTTTTGACAGTTAACACCACGTGTTAGTACGTAGCTACTGTTGTTCGTGCTAACAGATGACCGCTAATACCGACTGCTCCGTCGTGTTTTGATAAATGTCCCACACGCAACACATTGTTTTCCATGGATGTGACAGACACAAGCACCATCTGAACGCTGCCTACTGCCATGTTCAGGATCAATCCAACTTAGCAACATATTGACTGCCTTGAATCTTGATACTCTCCACTATCAGGTGGGGAAACTCTGTTGTCACTGAAACTGAATCTGTGTCTGTGTGCAAACGGAAATATCAAGGTCCTCGGGGCTGTTGCTGTCATTTTAGAGCAGGACGGGAAATAATAACTCTTTTGATATCTGAATGAAAATAGCAAAAACTTTGGTAGGCATCCAGTGAGCATTGGCCTACGGCGAACTGAAACTCTCCCTGCAACCGAGTCCCACACAGACACTCAAAGAGCGTTTTGTCAGTTTTCTCTGAAGTTTGTCGAATTTCACATTTATGATCCAAATGAGACCTGTCCAGGGTGTCCCCTGCCTTCGCCCTAAGTCGGCTGGGATAGGCTCCAGCCCCCCCGCGACCCTAGTGAGGATTAAGCGGAGTATAGAAAATGGATGGATGATCCAAATGAATGAAGATACTGACTGCACTGATCACATGATTGATGAAGCAAAGGCCACAGATCAAAACAATGTGAGTTGGCCTGATAAAGTTTGGGTCACAATTTGTCAAAGTGTATAATCTATGTTGTGGCATATCAGATTGTGTGATGGGTATTGAGCGAAAACAAAAATCAGAATCACAAGAATTGGATGGAAGCAGCGACGTGGCACTGCATCATCCGTCTGCTTTGCCAAGCTTTGGCCACATAGCGTTGTCTGAACATCACAAAACTCAAGACGAGAAGAGAAAGAGAATTGGGCAACAAAATTTCTATTTTTATAAAGGAGTTTTTCATTTATAACAGTAGCTTCTGTGTTTGTAGACATGGCTTGTAGCAGACATGTCAGTAAGATCTAACTTTATCACTTTTTGTTTGGGATGCCTCAAACTTGTGTTGTCTGAAAGGGGATTTTATCCCCTCAGATTGTCTCATTTGGATAATATTAACAACAAAACTACAACAGCTCAATTGTGAATGATTGCACATGCTCACTAAGACACTTCGCTGACTGAAAATTCACAAAACGCTGCATATTTCGGAAAAAAAAATCATTTGCTAGGAGACGCTTATTTTGTACGTCTCGCCTGGCTTCAGGGATACAGAAGCACAAATCCACTCGACAAATCAATATTACAGGGTTTTCTGAGCTCAACAAGTGTAGCAGACAGACAGTTTCACTGTTGTGTGTCTGCGCAGAGACTTTTGGAGTGTTTGGCATTGAAGAGGGAGCTGAATAGAAATTCAAATGTCTGCCACCCTATTTAATTGCAAGGGAGCATGTGTCGCCTTCCACATCAGAACCTCATTCATCCAGATCTGAGGCAAACAGGAGTAAACAGAGCAGGACTGTTTTATGTAATAAAGACATGGCCGCCTCACTGACACATTTGCTCAGACATGTGTGTGTGAGTGTGAGTGTGTGTGTGTGTGGGGGGGGGATCTGAACAGAGGTGTTCATGAGCCCAGTTTTAGGCCCCGAAACGCTCTTTGAATGTCCCATATTGTGATAACCTACAGCAGTGATGAATCCCATTGAAGAGAATTGGGCTAAAATCTAAAGAGGCACACTGAGGGACTGCAGAGAACATAAATAATATGTAGCTGCTGTAAGGAACACGCTGTTACAGTGAATTGCAGAGTCTCTCACTGCTGCCAGTCAGGCTTATTTTTATATATATGTATGTACATGAACCGTCCACAGCCGCGATTACTGATTTTTTTTTTTTTTTTTAACATTTTTTATTTTTTTTTTGCTACGCTTGAACATGTAGTCAGTTCATATTTACCCCGCAACATGGACATCTGGATTCATTATTGATGCTGTGTGGGTGCCGCTGCATGTTGGAAAGGGTGGGTTTGGCGCACGGGGAGTCGCCTGTGAAAACCCCATCACACAAACACACATCTGAACACCCCCCCCCCCCTTTTTTTTTTTTTTTTCCTCCCCTTCTTTCTTTCTGCCTTTTTTTTTCTTTTAAACCAGATAAGCTGCCACTGAACTTCATATATGTGTGTGACAGAGGCGGCCTTTTCGGGAGCGATTTTTAAAATAAAAAACACACAGCGGCTGGAACATGCTTCAGGTGTGCACTACCCGCAGTAACGAGACTGCGATGCTGAGCCAATGCAGCGGCAACACACGCCCCTCCGCTCCGCTCTCGCACAGACTCCCCATCCTCGTCGACGGACACACACACGCACGCGGGCACGCACGCACGCACACAACATCCAAATAAATGAGCAGTCAACACATCCCGCTGCTGTGAAATCTCGATGTTGCTGGATGGTCAGATGTGCAAAACGCGCCCGTGTGACACATTTCAATGGAGAGAGGGAGAGAGAGAGAGAGAGAGAGAAGGGGGGATGATGATGATGATGATGATGATGATGGGAGCGCGGCCGCGTCTACGGCGGGCGTGCGTGCAGCTGCTGGGTAAAAATAATTTTTAAGGTGGGCGCCCTTTCGAAGCACACATGTAAGGATGTGAATGAATAAAACCACACATGGCTGCAAGGTGTAAAATCATAAAGTGATTTTTTTTGCCCCCTTTCTTTTAAATGAGGGGGGGGTTTACACACTTGTGGTGGTCTACTTACGCACTGCCTCCTTTTTGGGGTCTAGGGCACTGGCAGTCTGCTGTATCTGGCCTATTTTGTTCTGGAGAACCCAGACCCGCTGGTTGGTGCTGATGATGTCGTTCTCCAGCTCCTGAAATAAGGAGCAGGCGTGCCGGGCCAGGTCGGAGAGCTGTCGCAAGGTCCGGGAAAGAACCACATTACTGATGGCACACAGGTCCTCGAAAAGCAGACCTTCATCGTTGGGGATCTGGTGCCTGCACAGAAGCTGCGGCTCCACAATCCTTTTGGCGAATGGCATTTTGCACGCCAAAAAATCGCAGCAAGGTTGTAAGCCAAGCGTAAATTCCCACCGCCTAGAACGAAAAGGTAAAAGGGGGAAACAGACAACATCCAAATATTATAAATCCACGAGAAGCCCGATGAGGTTCGGGGCCGACCGCGCGTTATCCTCCGGGCGTCAATCCAAAGTTCCCAGATTCTCCTTGAGATCCTCCATCCTGCTGCTGGTTTCTGGGGGATCACTCACACTCCCGCTCACACACGCACACACATGCACACACATGCAGGACACAGCTAAGCCCAGGTCAGTGGTGTGAGGATGCGTGTTGAGTCTGCGATCATGGGTTGCCTCCGTGCAGCGTCAAAGCAGCCAAAGCGCAAAGGAAGCGCCGCTCCAGCATGGGAAAATAAAAATCTGGGTCAAGTGGAAATATAGCACGGGATGTAGGAGAGATCTGTAAAAATTGATATCTAATGCGCAAGGCATAGACGTGGGCAAAACGTAAAAATAGCAGCATAAAGTAAATCTTGAAATAAGCAGTGTTTAAAAATATTAATATTGTTCCATGCGCCGTCTGGAAGCCTTCTGCTTTTATTTTATAGCTCCGTCCTTGCTTTTCCGACCTCACTGTGGTTATTTGTGTGCGGATTGATGCAGCCTGGCTCTGTGGCCTGAAGAATGTGCAGGCAGAGAGGATGAGAGAGGAGACTGAGGGAAAACCCGGAGATGTGGATGTATGCGGACAGGGAATGGTCACCAAAGTAAACCACAGCGAAGTTTTTCTTCATGTCAGGACGCGCTGACAGAGGAGGCTGGTGAGATTTGAATTTGGTCAGACTTTGATGTTTGACCTGAATCTGTGTGATCAGATATAGCGGAGGAAAACAGACTAAAGCTGGAAGAGAAATGCTCATTCATGTTCAGTGATTTACAGTTCCCAGTTCAATACATGAATATCAGCTTAATAATATTGCCGAAAGCATCAAGGGTGGTGTAATTGAAAAGTAAATAATATACTAAAAAGAAAGAAAAAATGTTCAGTTGATCACATAGAATAAAGTAACAATGATTGAAAAGGAACAAGACAATGACAAAAAGAAGATAATGTTCACTAAACCTTTGGTATGATGCACAGTGGAGAAAAAAAGGCATGAGTCAGCAAGGTTGCCAGAAATACATAAACATTATGAAAGGGTGGAATACTTTTTATTGTGTAAATTATTACCGTTATTTTTTTTTTAAGTTTTAAAAAATAACAGTTCAAAAATGTATTTACCTTACTTAAATCCTTCATTTTTTTGGACAAATGATGTAAACTTTTTGTAAAACAATATTTATTCTGAATTATACAGTGTAAATTGTGTGATTTTATGATCAAATGTTGCAAAAGCATGAATGAATGAATGAATGAATGAATCACTATTTATAAAAATACTGATTTCTGATGTGGATAGTTCACATGTAAATTAATACTTTTATTTTTTTTCAGTAGTTTTACTAGTTATTATCTGTAATTTGCCAAAACTGTGAAAATCTGTAAAACAAATCTGTTAAACAACAGTTAAAAAAAAAAAAGTGAATCTTTTTACAGTGTATTCCAGCTCCAGTCCCAATGGAGGTTCAGTACACTTTAGAATATAATCTAATGCAAAATATTACAATCTATACCTGTAGAATAATATTATGTATACTTCACTGTACCACATGTATCTTCATTAAACACAGTCTCTAAATTTCTAAGCTGTAAACTTCTCTGAAAAGTTCTCCTACAGCGAGAGTCTATACTGTAACGAAACGATGTCCAGCAACCAGACTTTTTAGCTGAATGTGTGTTTCCAGGATGCTAAGCCTGGCCGTTGTCTGTTTCATTCACAGTGATTAGCCTATAGCCTCCAGGCTCAGCCTGTATATAGACATGTCTGCAGTAAACTTGCCGTTGCAGCAAATTTGAGGCAGTGCAGATTGACAGTAACCTGTCACTGGCCTCCCTCTGAGCTGCTAAGAAGATAAGCGTGCTTGTTCCATGTATGCATTCAGCAAGCAACAGACCATGCAGTAGTTATTTATAATGAGCCATGTATCTTCTGTAACTTCAACATTACCACTGTCTTCATTTGAATGTGAGGCACAGTTATCAGTTCAACCAAGTAGACATTTTAGATACATCTAAACTATGTATTGACGGTGAACATTTTCCTCACTGTCCTGGCTGTATGAGACTTCACCCAATTACATGCAAGTGTCGAAAACTACATGGAGAAGTCAACAGTTTTGAGGTTTGTGCAACGTATTTCCAAATAATGCTACTTTACACTTCTGTATCCAAAAAGGGGTTGTCAGTGGCTGAAGTTCTGCTAGGAATGACCTGAAATCAATAAACTCCTTAGTCAACATGAGGATGATTTGGTACGATAGCAACGCCCGCCCTGCAATACCTTTGATGTTTTGTTGTTGTTGTTGTTTTTTTTTAAATGTAAAGTATGCCTTTTTTGCACCATTGAACTGCAAAGCAGCAGAAAACTGATATAGTCAAGTAAAGTCAGAACTGTATGTAAACATAGTACCTAACTACCTTCAACCTCTGATGATATGAGATGTATTGAAATAAAATCTTTGTTAGTTGTTGTCTTTACTTCTGTATGGTGGCTACAGCTGTCACCATCTTGGCAGTACCTGACTCCTCCTAACTCCTGAATAATCCAAAAATGGGGGAAAAGGGGGGCTTGTGAGTGAAGCTGCAAACCCCCTTTAACTATGGACGACCCTATGAAGGCACCCATGTTTATTAAAGTGGCACACCTGTTAATTATGCAAAACTTCAAGCATTAATATATTTAAATGGGTGAGCTATATAAGAATTCACCCATGTACATTTGGTATGAGCAGGGGAAATTAGCTATCGAGACCAAAACCATTTTCTGTACCAGGCTGTAATCAGGTTTATTTCTGCTACTTAATTGTGCATTTTAACATGGGGCTCTATGGAGATTGACTCACTTTTACAGGCAGCCTCAAGTGGTCATTTGAGAAACTGCAGTTTTACCACTTGCACATTATGATTATGATTATTATGATTATTAGGGTCCGAGCACACCAGTGCAAGTACCCTATTGTAACCGTTGTGATTATTATTATTA